CATGTCCCCTGCGGCTCCATTCGTCTGGGCATGGGCATCCCGGAGGTGCTCAGCAAAGACTCAACACAGTGCGGGCATCCGGGAGGTGCTCAGCAAAGACCCAACACAGTGCCTGGCTGAGCGGAAGCTTGAAGAGTGGCCAGGCCAGGGAGAGACCCCATCACATGCTCACACACCTCCCCAAGTCCAAGTTCCTCTCCCCTGAGGTGCAGCCCCTCTGCTCAGGTTGTGTGTGTGTGTAAGGAAGTGGTTTCATCCTGAGGCCCCTATTCAAGGGATACAGAAGTGGGGTGTGGTAGTGTATACCTATACAGTAATTCCAGCACTCTGGGAGGCTGAGGCAGGAAGATTCCAAATTAGAGTCTAAGGGGCTGGGGATTTAGCTCAGCGGCATAAGCGCCTGCCTTGCAAGCAGGCAGTAGTGAGTTCGATCCCTGGTACCGATAAAAAGGAAAAAGACAAAAAAAAAAAACCCAAATTGGAGTCTAATCTGGGCAGTTTACCAGAACCCAGTCCAAAAACTTTTTTTTCTTTTTTTTTTAAGCCTGGGGAATGTACTTTAATGAAAAGACCTTGAGTTCGATTCCCAGTACTGGGACAGGGATGGAGGGAGAAGCCTCTAGGCCTGTAGAGCAGCCTCGGAGGGAAGTGGTGGGGATGTTTAGGAAGACAAAGCCCTGGGCCTTCCCTGCAAGGGTCAGGGTCCCTCCCAACGAATTCAGCATTTGGCCCAATGCAGGGGGGTGGAGGCCTCCCCCAAGCTGGAGGGGTCACCAGGAATTCTGTGTTTCATCAAATACTGGCGGGCCACAGGGTTTTATTTGAAAATAATTTTAATTAGCCGGAAAGCAGGAGTTTAATAAATGGAAAACAGAGAACTTTCCAGGCCGCAGCTGGGAAACACTCGCTTTTTAAAAACTTCTGCCTGGCTTCCCAGGCCAGCTAAGCACCCTGGCATGAGAGCCTGCCTGCCAGAGGAATCCACAAGGAAAACAAAGCTTATTTTTAGAGAAATATTTTAGACTTGGTTTCGGCAAGCTCAGGAGTTTTCTTGTCTGTGTCGGGTCCTGAATATCTTTCCCTCTATTTCAGAGCTGCCTCTGTGGGCACAAGAGCTCCTATCTGCACGGGCTATTTCTGCCAAGATGAAAATAAAAAGGGCCCTGCCGCCCCCCTCCACCGGTTTCTAAAAATGTCCCTGCGCACCGACTGCCACAGAAGCCTGTCCTTGGCAGGTGTGTCCTGCAAGGAAGGTGAGTCCGGGGACCCACAGGCCTGGGTGCCTGGCTCCCCTCCTGCCCTGCCCTGCCCTGCCACCACCCAGCAGGAAGTGGGTGGCAGCCTGGCAGTCATTTCCGGGTTTTGAAAGCCGTTTTCAAATTGAAGGAGGCCGGCTGAGGACTGCTTTCCCTCTGTGGGCGGGCACCTCCCAAGCACGCATGCACGCGCACGCACACGCATGCACACGCACATCTCCCTGCCCCGGCGCAGAGCCCCAACAGCAGCCCGTACGCTGGACCCACCCTGCTCCACGCCACCCCGTAGCAGCAGCCGCACACGGGCATACCCAGCCCGCACCAGCAGCCTGCACACACCTGCACCCCCCACCTCACAGCAGACACACCTACCCAGACCTAAACTCAAGAAACAGCCACGCCCCAAAGATCCACAGACTTCCCCACATGAACACTCACACTCACACAGGCGGGTCAGACCCTCACCCCTCAGCCAGATGCACAGGCGCATGCACCGACACCTCTGCTGCCTGCACGGCATACGGCAGTGCACAGGCCCAACCCACCAGCATCTGCACATCCACGGGGCAGATGGGACAGAAACACACGCACAAATACTCCTCCCACACCAGGACTCCGCGGACCTCCCTCCATGCACACGTAAACGCGGCCACAGATACGTGCACACACAGGCTTTCAAGTCCAGCCTGCTGTCTGCAGAGGTGGGAGGAGGGGGCAGTGACTTTTTGCTTCTGGCCCCTGTGGCCCCTCTCCCTTTCCCCCTGTCCCTTCTGTTCCCTGGAAGAGTGGACAAGAAAGTAGTAAGCACAGTGAAACGAGGTAGCAGCAGGGAAAGGGGCTGTGAGGGCCTGTTGGGAGCTAAGCCTGACTGGCCGCTGCCCAGCAGTTGATCAGCTTCTCAGTCCACGCAGAGACCCAACTTCCGGTTTCAAGAAAGTTGGGTAAGAGTCCCATCTGCCCTCAATTATCACGAAGAGCAAACCCAGAGGATAGTGGGTACCCTGGGACATTTCCCTTCCAAGGTTCAGTGGGCTTTCTCCCTGTACATGTCCGCCCTGGAGTTTTCTGAGACCCCAGGCAGATTTTAACAGTGAGCATCTTAGTGCTGGCTCAGCCTTGGCAGCCAAGAGCCACACCTGCTTGTCTTTCCCGCATCAGGGCCCTCAGCTGGGTCCTGAGCTGCTGCACGGCTCATAGGCCTTCATCGATTCCCATGGGCAGTGCAAGGCTGTGGCCTAGTAGATGGATACTCACATCCTTTCTTGGAAGTAAGTTAGAAGGTGATGTATACAGACTGGGCTGCTTAGAGAAACTCTTTGGCCTTCACATTGGCCGTGGAAATGATACTGTGCAGCCCTTCCAGCCCATTTACAATTATGTTCACAACTGATCGTGGAAAAGTATTTTTTCTTGTCTTTTTGAGATACTGTCTCACTATGCAGTTCAGACTGTCCTTGAACTCACAGTGATCCTCTTGCCTCAGCCTCCTGAGTGCTAAAGGTACAGGTGTGCACCGAAGAATTGCTTCTTGAGTTGGGCATTGTTGTACACAACTGTAAGTCTCAGCACTCTGGAAGGCTGAGCCAGGAGGATTGTTAAGTCTGAATCCCAATTGGACAATTTTGGCGCTGGGGGTTTAGCTCAGCGGCATAAGTGCCTGCCTTGAAAGCAGGCAGTCGTGAGTTCGATCCCCGGTACCGATAAAAAGGAAAAAAAGACAAAAAAAAAAAAAAAAAAAAAAAAAAAAAGGGCAATTTTGTGATTTCAAATGATCCTGTCTCAAAATAAAAAATTGAGGGGCTGGGGATTTAGCTCAGCGGCATAAGCACCTGCCTTGCAAGCAGGCAGTCGTGAGTTCGATCCCCGGTACCGATAAAAAGGAAAAAGACAAAAAAATAAAAATAAATAATGAAAATGGGCTGGAGATGTAGTTCACTGTGAAGGCTCTGGGCTCAAACCTCAGAGCTGAAAAAAATTGCTTCTAGAGCCTGACGTGGTGGCTCACGTCTGTAATCCCAGCACTCTGGAGGCTGAGGTGGGAGGATGGTTGCCAGTTCGAGACCAGCCTGGGCTACAAAGTGAGCTCAAGGCCAGCCTGAACTGCATAGCGAGACTCTGTCTCAAAAAGACAACAACAACAACAAAAAATTTGCTTCTGGGCTTAGTCTAGGAGCCAGTGAGTGTTAGTTTCTCTGCTTTGACTGTCTTGGGAGCATCCTTGCAAGTTTTACTTCTATTTCTTGATTTTACAAGAAAACTGTCCTAAGGTTGATCCAGTACTAAGAGCTGTGTGCTGTTAATTCCAGCCAGAAGCACAATGACCTGGTTGCCTCCATCGATGTGCGGTGGGAGGAAACTTCTGAATGGTCCCCTAGCTTTCCCTGCTCCACTGGGGCTAAAATACCCACTTTAGATCCTAGCAGTTGGGCTGTCAAACAGAGCAGTTTTTAAAAAGGAGTGTGGGTTACCCCATAAAGAAGTCAAACATTCCAGCTGATCAAGAGTACTTGTTTAAAAAAAAAAAAAAGACTACTTGTTTAGAAAAATAAGTTTGGGAACGAAGTGGAAACAAGACCTTTGAAATGCAGTTTGGCTTAAATAGCACCATATTTTAGACGTTTCACCCCCATTGCACATTCTTTATGGTGGAGAGGCCAGGGAGCCTGCCCAGACCCTCCCTGGCCTCGGGCTTCCCCTCCCTACCCTTGCCCCAGAGGCCTAGCATCTGGGAAAACTTTGAAACTGCTCCCCAGCCCCTCTGGCAGAGTGCGCCAAGCCCCAAAACGCTCCAGTGAGCACCAGCGCCATCATTGCTAACTCGAAACAGCTGCCCAGCCCCAAGCGAGCGGCCACCAGCCATCCATCCATCCCCACCCCTCTCAGCTCAGCTGTGAGTCACAGAAGACCCTGGCTAAAGGAGGGCCCTCGAGAGGTCCCAAGGATTGGCTGATGTAGCCCAGCTGTTGTCGATAAGAAAGCAAAACTATTGCTAAATCTCTTACCTCCTGTGGAAAGAGCCGCTCAATTGTGTGTGAGGGGGGTGGGGAATGAGAGAAACATGCATTGATTTATGAACCAGATTTTGCTTTTAAATTGAGAAGGAAACCAGCAGAGTCACCATTGTGAGTTTGTCCAACTGTTTTGAGAACCAGCGGGGAAACCCATACCTTTTGGAGGCAAGGGTTGAATTTGCTTTCTGGCCTCTGAAGCCCAGACACTAATTCCTTTTGCATAAATAACTGGTGTGTGCTCATCCCCAGAGGAAGCTGTCTGTGTAAACAAACATCATCCAGATAGAAATTTAACCTGCCTAATCTTCCTTCCCCTCCTTTCTGAACAAGGACACAACCTGGCTTTCCAAAGTCCATGTCAAACGTCAGTCCGAGGCCACACTCTCCACTTGGAGCTCAGGACTTCCAAGGCCCTGCAGGAAGCAACTCAGAGAAAAATTGGACCTTCAGCTGCCACTGTGGCCATGTGACCCACTAGGGTGACTCACAGGCTGGCCACACCCCTAGAGGTCTCCCGCCAGCAGCCAGCCAGCCAGCCAGCACAGGGATGCACCTTATTACCAATGGGAACAGCTACTGCCCTTTAGTCTCAAGAATCACACTTTCTTTCAGCTAAAAGTACCTGCCATCAAGTAAATACAGGTAAGGCATCCCATTCCCAGCCCTCCGAGGCTTCAGGCAGCTAGGAGCAAAGACATTTTGATTGGAAAAAATTTCACTCTTACACATTGCCTTTTCTTCTTCCCAAAGTTTTATTGGGGGCAAACTACAAAACATTTACAGTACAATGTTTACAGTCACAATTTGTAGTGAACTGATTCCCCAAATATATTACAACTCAAGTTGACTTATCTTGTTACATTCAAAAACCTACTTGTCAAAGTAGTCCAGAGAGTACATACATAGTGCTCCAACTGTACCTACAAACTACACTACGGCTGCTCATTCATCTGCTGTCCAGGAAAGCTCGAGACATTCCTGCCCTTCTACATGGGAAAAAATAGTACAAATTTTAGCATTCTCGGTAATTAAACAAGGCATATTCGCGTACTATATACCATTTCAGCACTAAGAGGTGGCCTCTTCACTTTATAGCATAAAAAAAGTGGTAAAAATCTTCTTTTGTGCAGTTGAACCCATCCTACATTCAAATTCAAGCACTAATAAAAAATACTTATTTGGTTGAGGAAGATTAAGGCAAGTTCGGGCCCTTCTGAAGGCACGGTGAGACTACCCCCCATTATTTATTGCTACATGTCTTTATACTCAAGAGTATGTCACAGTAGAGCTGGTGGAATCAGCAAAAAAATTTTTTTGCTAGTTTATCAAACTTGGAATTAGCAAAATATGCCACATGTGAGCCTGATTGCAATGTGGCCTTTTTTTTTTTCCTCTAAAGGTGGATGGGCTACAACCATTATACATTCTAAGAAAACTCAGATATCTGTCAAACTATTTCCACAGCATCGAGATAGATTTCTGTAAAGAAATCATGGAATCTTTCGCAATTTACGTAAACAAGGAAAGAAATTAATGAAATAAATATTACATACAATCTCTTAAATTAAGATTTTTACTCATTTACAATAAAATAACCAAGTGAAGTTACAAAAGGCATATATTACTGTGAAAAGAACATACACTCCACATTTTGCCGATTAATAATGGCAATCATAATTTAACATAAAAGAATATATATCTATTGCTTCTCATCATACTTGATAAATACAGTATGAACAAAAATTTCAAATGTATACTTTTCACAAGATAATAAATAAGTTAAATAGTTTTCTCATATTGAGTTGTGGTGCAGTGGTGCGAATCAACTCAAAAACAGCTAAAAATTCAGCAGTTATTTCCCAACAATTTACAAACTAAGCTCTGCCCAAGGCTTCCAGAGAGCAGACAAAATGGTTTTAAACTAAACATCCACTAAGTGGTAGTAATGAAACCAGTAACCAGTACAGACTTTGGAATGAATGGGTTTTCCCCAGACATATAGAACTTCGTTAAAAAAAACAAAACAAACCTAAGGGTGAAGGACTGCTATCAAGGCATATTCTTGGCAGAATATTGGGCTCTAAAAGCTTACAGTTCAGCAAGGTGGGGGCTGGCTGGTTTGTTTACACTGGTAGGAGACAAATAATTAGGAACTTTCAGATCGAGTTCCGCATCTGGACTGTAACTAATGCTTCTTCAAGTGTAGAGATGGAATGGTGGCTGTAGCTGCTGGTGCTGGGCTGATTTTTCCTGGAGTTCCAAACTCATCGGGAAACCTCAAAGTTTGCTTGGTTTTTTTTCCTTTTTGTTCTATTCGCATCACAACTGCCCTGTTGTGAATATTTTGTTCATCAATACAAAAAGTTCGTTGGCTTTTTTTGTTTTGCTCAACAAGAATGAAAATTTTGTAATAATAAGAAATAATTAAAAAAAAAAAACCGAAAGAGGAAGGGGCGGGGCCCTCCCAGCCGAGTTCGAGTCCAAGTGCTCGGGGGTGGGGGCCTGTCGCTCGGTCTCTCGGGAGCTGGCGCCCCCCACCCCAGCAGGAGCGAGGCGGGGAGGGAGGCGTCAGCCCAGCCCGCCTCTCGGCCCCTTCCTCTTCCTCACTGGCGCCCCCTTGCCTCAGTCATCGGAGATGGAGAGGCGGCTGAAGATGGGCAGGCGGCGGCCGGGGTCGAGGCTGGGGGACTCGGAGCCGCTGAGGCTGCCAGAGCTCAGCGAGCCGCTCAGGTAGCTGTCTCGGTCCGACAGCGAGTCGGGGGGGCTGGGGGGCGCGTCGAACACGGGGGACTCGGACAGGCGGCGCGGCAGCGGGAAGCCGAAGGGTGGAGAGGGCGGCGCGGCGGCGGCGGCGGCGGCCGGGGGCGCCGCGGGGCCGGGCGGCTGCTGGCTGCGGTAGTAGGCGGCGGCGGCCGCGAAGCCGTGCGTCTGCAGGGCCAGCGGCGCGATCAGGCTGCCCAGCTCGGGCCCGAAGGCGAAGGCGTTGTTGGCGCAGGCGGCTGCCGCGCAGGCCGCGCACGGGGCCCCGGGAGCCAGCAGGTCCTCGGTGCCCCCGGGGCCGTAGAGGAGCGCGGCCGCGGCCGAGGCCGAGGCGCAGCACGTCGGGGCGCCCGAGGGCGTGGAGGCGGACGAGCAGGAGGAGGCGGACGAGGAGCAGGAGGAGGCCGAGGAGCAGGAGGGCGGCGGCGGCGTGCGCGACGTGGGGCTGTCGAGCAGTAGCGGCGACTCGAGGCCGCCCGGGGGCTGGTGGTGGCCCGTGGGGAAGCCCGAGAAGCTCAGACTGTGGTGCAGCTTGGGGCGCGGCTCCCGCGGGAAGCCCAGGGGCAGAGCATCGCGGACGCCCAGACCGCCGCGCGGGTCCCCCGCCCCCGAGGCGCCCCCAGAGCCGGACGGCGCCGGCCGCCGCTCGTCTGCGTTGTGGATGAAGTGGCAGCGTGGCCCGTAGGGGCAGAAGCCGATGGTGTGGAAGGTGCGGCACAGCTCCGTCTTGTACTTGGGATGCCGGGTGAGGCTGCGCAGCTCGTGGAAGCCGTGCGCGAACTGGCACTTCTCGCCGTACTTGCACGTGCCGTTCTCCTCGAAGGGCCGGCACAGCTCGGTCTTGTAGCGCGTGGAGTTGATCTGCGAGCCGCCGCCCTTCTGCTGCTGCAGGTGCAGGAGGTGCTGACTCCGCTCGCCGTTCTCACTGAACGAGCGGTCCCGGAACTTGTTTTCCTTGTTGAGCAGCGCCGTGCTGCTGCCCCCAGACGGTGGCTCCTTGAGGGGCGCGTAGGGGCCCGCACCTCCCGCCGCGGCGCCCGCGAACTTGGGCGAGCAGCTGCCGGGGCTGGGCGCGGGCTGGGCGAGCGCGTGCAGGTTGCTGGCCGAGTGCCGTCGGAGGAAGCCCGGCGCGAAGGTCGAGCCGGAGGCTGTGGCCACGGGGGTCCCCACTGCCTTCTTGTCCAGCATGGTGTTCAGATTTATGTTGGCCAGGGACTTGTCCGCCTGCCAAAAGGAGGGGAGCCGGGAACAGATGAAAATCAGGAGGAGGGGGCAGAGTTGGGGCGAGCAGTGGGCCAACTTTCCAGCTTTCTGATTTTATCCTCCGCTTTTTTGCTGATTTCAAACTAGCCTCCACCAATGCACGCTGAAGAGCAGCAAACTCGCGTTGGGAGGGGCGGGAGAGCGCAAGGCACTCACCGGGCTGCGCTGGTTCCGATCCCGAGATCCGCGGCCTGGGCCCCGGAGAAGGCGGCATGCACTGCCCGGGAAGCCAGGGGCAGCGTGGCCGTGGTCGGCTCGGGAGAAAACTCACCAGCTACGGCCGCTCCCTCCTTCTTCTCTGCCCTCCCCGCTCCTCCCCGCCCACTAGGCGCTAGCACACATTACTGCAAACTCCAGGGTTATTTCCCGACCCGAAAAGTCAAGGAGGGAGGGGTCCCTCCAGATCGAGGGCAGAAAGCCGTCTGGATGCTCGAAGGGCTCCTGCCAGCCCGCCTTCCTCCCCTCTGCTCACCCGCCTACCTTGTACAAGAAATCGAAGTCGTAGAAGGCCGACAGAAGTGTGGTCGACATGTTTCGGGGTCCTGTAATGGGTCAAAGCTGCAGGTAGGGAGGTTGGGAGGAGCCCTTGGGGCGGCGCGGCGGAGCCCGAGCCACGACGAATAACGGGCGAAGGACAGGGAGGGAACGAAAGTTTGCTGAGGGGTGAGCACAGCGAGCTGAAAGCAGCGTGGATCGGGCAGAGGGGCCCCTGGAGTGCGGAGCGGGGGGAGGAGGAGAAGAAGCGATGAGCGCTCTCGGGCGCCCCGGGGTGCCGGCCCGGCCCGCCCCCCCGCGCGGAGCCGACGGCAGCTCGCGGACTGCTGGAACTCCGCGGGCCGCGAGCGCGCTCCCTATATAGAGGCCAGCGCTAGCGAAGGCTGGGCGAGCGCCGGGGGCGGGGACAGAACGCTGACCCCGCTGGGGTCTCCAGGCAACGCCTCCCGCCGACTAGCGGACGTCAGACGCCGTCCCGGCCTCCCATTGGTCGCCGCCAATTTTTTTCCCTCGGGGGAGGGGGTGGAGTGGCCTCGGGGCGGGGCTGGCTGCCCGGCCGCCCAGGCAGCGTGGAGAGCTGTGCCGGGTGGTGGTGTTGGGTGGCGGCGGGAAGGGAGCGCCTTCCTCTGCCTGTGGGGCCGCGGTGTTGGAAAGCCCCAGCGGGTTCTGTGAGGCCGGGGTTCTGCAACCCCGGACTTGTCTTTCCTCGCCTGATCCTGCCAGGCGGACAGGCGCAGCTTTTATCTCCCACCCTCGGTTTTGTGCTGGGCGCGGGAATTTGCAAAATGCAAGCATATTGCAACCGTCCGCGTGGCTGGACCGGTTGGCAAGGGTCCGCGTGGCCGGGCCGAACAGACCTAGGCTGAGGCTCTGGCCGGGTTGCACGTGGAGGCGCGGTGGGGGCGGGGGCGGCAGCAGCTTCGCGGGCCGCAGTCTCCCCAGGGGAGTCCAGGCCGTGTCTCCGCCCCCCTCCCCGCCCAAGCTCGGTAAACAGGGCTCCCGCGCCCGGGCCTGCCGGGTAGGGCCGAGTGTCTGAGCACAAGGCGCTGGCTTTGCTAATCACATCACAAGACCTTGAGCCCCGGCCAAAGGCGCGGAGTGGCGCGGGGCGTCCTGGGCGGGGGAGCCGATCGGGTGAACGGGAGGGAAGCGGGGAGTACTGTGCAGGCATGGAGGCGATTTCCTCCACCCTTTATGTGTGCTGATCGGCCGGGCTTCTCCAATTCTCCTGGGTTTGGGGTGCAGCTGCCAGGCAAGGCTCGCCGCCTAGCGCAGCCTTGCCCTGTGGCACCCTCTAGGCCCTGGCCATGGGGAGGGAACTGTGCCCCGCTTCTCTTGGTGGTGGCTGCAGGATCCCGTTGAGGCTTACCAGCGTCCCAGCCGGGGAACCCCCCTTCTGTTGCATACCGGGCCCCACACTCCGCCTGCTTGCCCTGGGATATGCACTTTGCTAACTTGTGCAGGCCTTGTGTCTGGGGACGGGGCAGACACCCCCACCTAGCGCCCAGTAAGGCTAAAGCGTTGGACAGCCCCGTTCGCTGCCGCTAGAGTCAGTACTGGCTGCCAAAATACTGGAAACCAGCCTATGATTTCACCCAGCTGGCAGCGCAGGCTGCCTAAACGGGAAAGGCCAGGACCTGCAGGGAAGGAAGCTTGATCCACACAGCCTTCTCACACGGCTCTTGCAAGGTCTGCTTGCACCCAGCCCTTCAGGGCTGATTGATTTCCTCTGTTAATAGGGAAAGGCTGGAGGTAGGCGAGTCACTGGGACAGGACAGCCTAAGGCCCGTGTGCACTCCCCACTGCTGTGTTCCCCTAGTGGCCAGGGCAGGGGTGGGAGAACATCAGGGTCAGCAGTGTACGGCTGGAGTTCAGGCCCTGCCCCTGACAAGTCATGCGATCTGCAGCAAATCACATATACAAACAATTGCTTTAGGTACCTGGGTTTCCTTACTTGCAAAAAATAGAGAAGATAACAGTTTTGCTTTACTCACCCCGTACCTTTATCAAGGTCCAAATGAGATATCCAGAGAGGTGTTTAAATGAAAAGTACAAACCACCATATACATTACAACAACTTAACAAATTCTAATGGAGAGAGCCAGGCTTCTGGGCTATGGCTAGATGGGTGGAGGTTCACAGACCCAATGTTACAGAGTCAGGGGCTACCAAACCTTGGACCCTGGGGAGCTTGATGCCAAGAATAGCTAGTGACGGCTTCACTCTTCCCACCTGCTCTGCTGTGGCCCCTACACAGGGCTGAGCAGCTGGGGCTAACACTGTTTTGTTTCTTGAAGTGGCCCCAAACACCAGACTATGAGCCCTGAGAGGATGATCTTTGAGGTTTCTCTGAAGAATTCATCAAGAAAGTGTGAAGCAGTCATTTCCCCAGCCAGTGGTAGTAGGTTAGTAGCAAGAGTGCAGATACAAAACTGGTAGAAACATCTGTTTCTCCTGCCCTCCAAATTGGGCAACCCCACTCCACAGTGGTGAGAACATTCACTTTGTAGAATAGAAGGATCCTAGAGGTAGTATGTAAACATGTGCTGCTACAGGCCTTGGTACAGAGTATCTGCTAGTGTGCTTTTATCACATAACTGCTTTAAGTAAGGAAAAAGGGAATGCTGGCCTTTTCCACTGGGCTGAGCTTTGTTGGAATTAGTTTACAATTAGCCTCCTTTGGTTATCACCACGTCACACACCAATGCCTGCCTTCTCCCCAGCAAGGTCCTAGAACAAGACAGACATGTTGGGCTGGCAACTTTCCATCAGGTGTGGACTACGCAGATGCTTAACTAGATAATTAATTCAGGATCACAAAAACCACATTTGGGGCTGAAAGGTTGCAAAATCACTCAGGGAATTTTCTGTTCTCTTTAGGATGAAACTCTGGACACTTGAGTTAACTTCTTTCCCCCTCTTCCTGCAGATCCTTTTTTTTGATATGTTCAGCATGGCCACATTTTTAGTATTAGGTCGCTTTCTCTCAGAGAGACAAGTTACATTTGAAATTGCAGCTTTTCTGCAGTAGGGAATGACCATATCAAACTCTTTCCCCTCTAACCTGTACCTTCAGATCTTCTAAGTGACTGCTCACCCAAGAAGTACTTGAAAATATCTACAAATTCTACAAGTTTACTATAGCTGAAAGGTCCTTTTCATAGAACTAGGATCAAAAAACAAATGTGGGTGACTACAACTCATCCATGCTATGAATTTCAATATTCTGTGGGTAACACTCTGAGGCTACCTGTGAATTAAAAACGGTAAGTCAATGAGTTACAAGACCAGCAAAACACATGCAAGAGTGCCACCTGCTGGTTATCTAGGGAGGAAGGCTGGGCTGGGATTGGAAATGGCAGAAAATTTCTAGATTGAGACACTGAATTGGATAAATGTATTTAATGGCATCTTAAATAAGAATCTTGTTGTTACTGTCACCAAGCACATGTCGTTAAACAGTGTAGGGATCCAATGAATCACTTGTTCTGCTCTCCTTTCTCCAGGTTCCTTCTAACAGCCAGGAGTACATGCTTCTTGGGTGGCAGAATCCTTCTTAGCATTAGCACCTATTTTTGAGGGAGATAGGAGCAACTCTCCATGCGATCTTTAACAATTAGGGTGCAATGTGCTAGGCCACTGCAGGCCTTACAGATGCAGAAAATAAAAATAAATTATTTGTGTGAGGTTGACCCTTACTTAATTCTCCCAGGACTCAACATTTGGAATGTATTTTTGCTTTGCTAAGAGGGAGTAAAATTTAAAAATCTGACCAAATGGGCTGTTTGCCAGCTAATCCAGCCTCTCCATATAACTCAAAACAAAATAAACATCATCATCAACAACAACAACAAATGAGGTGTGTGTGTTAAAACCCAGTTCTGTGCAGCAGGTTCACGGAAAACGCTGGCTGGGAAGGGTAGTCAGGCCTGCAGGTGGCTTGCACCTGGGAACAGAGTAACTATTCACCACGGTGGCCTCACTTCCTACAGTAGCTGCAATAAACCTGGCTGCCTTGAATGAATGAACTGAAGAAAAATCCCTTCGTGTGCAGCAGCAGCCTAGACTCTCAGTAGCAGGGCAGGCATGAGGGGAAAGCTTCTGAATTTATGTTTGAAAGCTCCCTACACAGCTAGTGGCCAACAGCCCCCTGCTCCGCCCCACCCCCACCCCGGCCTTTCTGCCACACAGTGCTTCAGTTCTGGAGAGTTAAGTGACTGCTGCTGCAGGGGTCCGAGGTGCTGCGAGTAGGGGCTGCTGCTTCTTTTCCCCCCAGAAAGGCCAGCAGCCTTAGGCCAGCCAAAGTCCTTTCCTCCTGAATGCGCAGTCTTGTGAACTCTACAGTCTTGAGAAACTCAGCGGTAGGTGGCAGCTCTCTGAAGAGCTGAGAAAGGAGGTGCTGCTGCTGGGACACAGTCCTCTGCAGGTGACTGAGCCTCTCAGAGCTGGGCGGACGCCAGCCTGACCTGCAGAGGAGGTGCAGGAGTTGCTGGTAGAGGTGTTTCGCGAAGGTCAGGGTCTCTGCCCAAAAGTTAACTTCTGCCTTTTCAAACAGGTAGTCGTCCTCTCCCTACATGAAATGAAAAGGCCTGAAATCAACCTTTAAGACCCTGAGAAGCCTCAGGCCGACTCAACGCAAGAGGCGTGTCCCCTCCCCCACGCAAACCAGGGCCCACTTCTGCCTGTCAGCACCAGGCAACCTTGAAGGTCACCTTCTGTTTTCACTCCTGGTACTTCTCCAGCACAGAGGAATTTCCCCCAGACTTAACATGGCCTTTGATAAAGATGTACTTGTAGCTCAAAGCCAAGATATTTTGGGGGAATGATGTTGAAAAGGGGACCTTGAGGAGGGAGTGGACCTTAGCGTGAATCCAGAAGTCAGAAAGGAGGCTGGGAGGGAAATCTGCGCTGTGGCCTGAAGATCAAAGAATCACCAAATGTCAGACACTGGCCTCCAACAATGGGACCCAATTCCTACAGTGCTATGGGCCTTCGAGGTCATTTTATCACCAACTCTTTATCATGTCTCTCTATTTCCTGTAAACAGGCTGCTTTTTGAACTCCTGGCTTGCAGGGAATGCCAAGCCAGCAGGCCCAGATGGGCATGAATCTGTTTTCAGATTTTGCTGCTTGTCTTGGTCCTTGATTTTGCTGTCTGCTCCCCCTGGAGGTGAAAAACTTCTTCTACCAGCAAGTTCCCTGGGAAGTCTCTCATTTCTCAGATCTAACTGAGGGAGAGCCTCACAATTAATAAGCATTCTTCATAATTACACTTTTTTGTTTCTGTCTTTGTTTTTTTGAGACAGGGTCTTGCT